GTGTCTTTTAATGTTTCATTTCTTGTTTAAGGTGCCCTAATCTGGAGGTTCTTTGGCTTTCTAAATGCCCAAGTGTCACTGATGCTTCCATGCTCAAGATTGCGACCAACTGCACCAAGCTTCGTGAACTTCACCTCCACAAGGCACCATACGTTACCAACCAGACGCTGGAAAAGGTGCATCAGAATTGCCCCATGGTCAACGTATTGATTCTGGAAGACGAGTGAATCAAGTCTCCGACAATGGCGTATGAACGCTAGCTATCTATCCCCTATTCCTGAAGTTTATAGCTACTTAACTAGAGTGATCAGTTAATTATGGTTTCGATTTATTTATGCTTTCAGTTTGATTATGCTTTCAATTTACTTGTGTGTTTCAAAACTTTTAAATTAATATCAATGCCTAATGCTATTTCTATCTATGAACCTTCTCTAAGACACTTAAAACTGCATTTAAAGGCATGGTCTGGTTGATATGCTTATAATAGTGACATGAAAAGCCAATGATAATTTTCACAATATTATTTAGCTCAGACCAAATGTTAAAAAGCATCGTTTATACTAGCTCCTATTAAAGTTATTTCTCCTCATGATGGCCTTTTTAATTTATTTAATTTACTTATACGATACACAGTCTCCCACTGCGATAGATACGACAATGAACCAAATGGCGAGGTGTGAAACTGAAGAGATCATTGGGATTGCAAGTAACTTATACTTCAGAGTGTATACATTATAAAGTTGATTGATGTATATATATTTAACATATGCAGGTGCTCAATGTAGAGTAACAATATTCTAGATCTATCGATTTACATTAAGTGCTCGCATCTTTATGTAAGAAAATTTCAAGAACTCACAACGGCAGAAATAAAAAATATTCGATCGTAGAAATTAATTATTCTTTTCCTTTTCGACTCATTAGCGTGTTTTACTTTTTGTAGTTACACTAGAATTAGAGATTTTATCATGTGGCATAATAAATATACGCCTAGACAGAGAAATATTCGTTTTTTTTTTCAAAGTCATACGCAAATTTTCGTCACACTACTTATGTATTCTTTGTTAGTTGTGCTGACACATATCTGATGGTGATATAATGTGATCATTTTTAATTATATCATGTAGCATAAGCTAATTACGAGAGTGGAAAGAGAAGCTAATTATGATGAGAGTATCATGTGGCATAAACAAATTCTTATACAAGAGAATGAATATATTAGCTAGTGTCTATATTCATGTATTCTCTTTGCATATATATCTAGAATGCCATTCCACAGCATATATGAAAAATATGTGAAAATGTTGAGAAGATATCTAAGAGCAACAAAAAGTGATGATATACGAAAATAAAAGTTATATTAGCATTTAACAATGTAAAGTTTTGTGGGAACCGAGTAACCATGCACACTATGAACATGACTCCGACTACGCAGTCTTTAGCTCAACTTTTTGTAGATGTCCAAATCTATTATCTGTCTTTCAATGTTCATGTCTTCACTTGGTCATACCGTCAACAGCTAAATCCTATCGCCAAGAAGATCGACCATGTAAATGAATTTTGAGTAGTCGGTTATCCAACCAGTTCAGCCACTTTTGAAGCACTACCATGCTCTGATCATTGTCCTTGTGTGATCCGGCTTCAGAATAATAAGAGACCTTTGAATAGAGTTTCAAAATTTTCAACAACCCTTCTTTCCAACGATCAATACCATCG